CTGCTGCCTCCCACCTGCCCCTGCTTCTTTTCAGGCTTCCCGCGAAGATCTGATTTGCGGGAAGCAGGGGAGGTGGAGGAGCAGGTGGGCGGAGCGTTCAGGGGAGGGGAGGGGAGGAGGGGGAAGACAGCTGCGGGGCCGGATGGCGTGGTAAGGCTGCAGGGGATGGGGGGAAGCCGGGAAGGGGCTTTGGCTGCCCAGCGGCGCTTGGCCACCGCTTTTCTGTCTATAAATAGCCGACCAGGGGGAAATCCCGGACATTTTTTAGATTTTTTAAAAACTCCCCCCCCGCCCCCCGGGCCGGCTATTTATAGACCGAAAAGCCGGACATGTCCGGGAAAATCCGAACATATGGTAACCCTAGTGTTTCGGCCATGCAGATGCACATTTCTCTCTACCTGGAAGATGAGCAAGCAGCAGATCCCAGAGGAAGATGATGCCAGTGAATGGTTGTGTGTGCAATCTTGCACCCTGAGCCAGGGAGACTCTGACAAGCAGCAGTTGTACAAGCTGCAGAAGTCAGGCATAAAGGTTGCATAGCCCATTTTACTAATTCCCAGCCTTAGATTCATTTACGAGTCTGGAAGAAGCAGTTCAATCACAGCAGCACGCTTAACAAGCAGGCTCCCAGTTCATTCACACAAAACCCCAGAATCAGATATTAGTCTCAATACTAGAGATACTACTTGTTCACAGGACAGCTTTCCAGTCAGCCCTCGACTACATTTCTCCTGCATAATCGACATGTTCATTAGGGAGATGCTGTTACCGTGGGGGGGGGGGGGGGGAGAGGAGGAGGAGGAGGAGGAGAAGAGGAGAGAACTCATTAGTCAGTTAGCAGAATTTGATTAGCTGGCTGCTGTGAGACTATGGTTTTATGGCTACTGGAAGAAATTTAATCAGGAACTGTCTCTAAATTAACTATTCATAAAATGAGTGTTGTCTCAGTGCTCTGGAAGGTCAGGAAAGGTCTCCCTGTGCCCTGGGACCATAGAGCTAGGAACTGCCTCAAGAGCTCTCTGCACTTGCATTTAGGGAACTATGCTACTGAAAGAAAAGGTGAGGCCCTTTAGGATTAAATAAGACGGTTACTCACCTTTGTAACTGTTGTTCTACTCCAACAGAGGGGAAGGAGGGTGGGTTTGGAATGGATATGAGCAACACATCTCAAAGAACAACAGTTACAAAGGTGAGTAATTGTCTTTTCTTCTTCAAGTGCTTGCTCATATCAATTCCAATTAGGTGACTCCCAAGCCTTACCTAGGCGGTGGGGTCAGAGTGAGATGTAGCGGAGTGAAGGACTGCTGAACCAAATGCAGCATCACCCCTGGACTGCTGCACTATCGCATAGTGGGAAGCAAAGGTATGTACCGATGACCAAGTTGCTGCCCTACAGATCTCCTCTATGGGTACATGAGCCAGGAAGGTGGAGGATGAAGCTTGAGCCCGCGTGGAGTGGGCGGTAAGGTGCATAGTTAGGACACCAGCCAAATCATAGCACGCACGGATGCATGATGTGATCCAGGACAGGATGCGCTGGGTGGAAACCGGAAGGCCCTTCATCCAGTCTACCACAGCTACAAACAGCTGGGTCGCCCACCTAAAATGTTTCGTTCGTTCAATGTAGAAGGCGAGGGCCTTGCGAACGTCCAGGGAGTGCAGCTGTTCCCATTTAGAGGCATGCGGCTTCGGGTAGAAGACCGGGAGGAAGATGTCCTGGTTGACATGGAAGGCAGACACCATCTTAGGGAGGAAGGCCGGGTGGGGTCGCAGCTGTACCTTGTCCTTGTGGAACACCGCATATGGTGGTTCCGATGTGAGTGCCCTGAGCTCAGACACATGCCTCGCCGAGGTGATAGCTACAAGGAAGGCTGTCTTCCAGGAAAGGTACAGGAGCGAGCAGGTAGCCATCGGCTCAAATGGGGCACCCATGAATCTGGAGAGGACCAGGTTAAGATCCCACGTAGGGGCTGGTTGTCTAGTTTGTGGGAACAGGCGCTCCAACCCCTTGAGAAATCTAGTGACCATGGGATTGGAGAAGACAGAATGCCCGTTTTCACCCAGGTGGAAAGCTGAAATAGCTGCCAGGTGCACTCTGATGGATAATATTGCCAAGCCTTGCTGCTTTAAGGACAGGAAGCTCTGAGCACACCAGCAGGAAAAACACTTCCACTTGGCTAAGTACATGGACCTGGTAGAGGGCTTCCCGCTACCCAAAAGGACCTGTTGTACCAAGCGAGAGCAGCAGCACAGCTCAGATTGAGTTAGCCATGCAGCGTCCACGCTGTGAGGTGGAGAGATTGCAGCTCGGGATGACAGAGCCGTCCGTGGTCTTGAGTGATCAGGTCTGGCCACAGCGGGAGTGGAATTGGAGTGTCTGCTGACAGCTCCAGGAGAGTGGAATACCAGTGGTGTCTGGGCCACACTGGGGCAACCAAAATCAGACGGGCTCTGTCCCTCAGCAGTTTGAGCAGGACCCTGTGGACTAGCAGGAATGGAGGAAAGGCGTAGCACAGGTGAGACTTCCACTGTATTAGGAAGGCGTCCAATAGGGAACCAGGGGAGTGTCCTTGGAGAGAGCAGAACACCTGGCATTTCCGATTCTTGCGAGAGGCAAATAGGTCTATCAGGGGAAAGCCCCACTTCCAGAAGACGGAGTGGATGACATTCGGGTGAACCGACCACTCGTGAGCCAGGAATGATCTGCTGAGGTGGTCCACTACGGTGTTCTGGACTCCTGGGAGAAATGACGCCACCAGATGGATCGAGTGGGCTATGCAGAATTCCCACAGACGAG